GGAGATGGATTTTAGCAATAAGCTAAGAATAAAGCATCCAAGAAAAGCACATAACTCCCCAAGGCCATCAGCATTTTGCAGGAAACAAGAGGGTTTTTTTGGGTTAGGTTTATCTCTAAAAGCACTGTATGAAAAGCAAATGATTTTTTAATCACTGATTTACTTACAATATGGGCATTTTGAAAAAACAGAAGAATAATTTGTTAAGCATGTACCTAATTCATATATTCCAAATGAAACCTTTTATTGAGTTCCTACAGTGCTCCAGAAATGAACTGTTTATAAAATGAAAGAGCTGTTCAGTCACTAAAAAGATGCCACTCTACAGATTGTGACCTGAAAAATAAACAAATTGGTACTAAGTCAATGAAGAAACTCCTCCGAAATTCCAGGGACAGAATGGAATATTCCAGAACGAACACGGAGCTGGCTACCAGAACGCTTCCATCCCAGGGCCAACTCTAACACTAGCTGTGCTCATTCAACTTCCCCTTCATGCATTCAACAAAGTCTTGCTGTGTGCCTACCAGGCTCAATGCTGAGCTCGCTTGTGGCCTGTGCAGAAAACAGATATCAAACAAAGTCAGTTCTCGTTCGAAAAGTGTTTGGAAAGCAAAGCAGAAATGCAGTGTGAGTCTATGACCAGGGGGGCCTAGCCTGGAGAGCCGCCTGGAGGAGGTGAGCTTAGAGCGAGGACCTGAAGGATGAGCGGGATGAGTATAAGCCCAGGACATCCGTGAGGCCTTGAGCACACAGAACGCAAGCTTTGGTTTCCCAGGCACAGAATGAATGAGGTGGGCTCAGAACTAATGAGAGCAAACACGTGCTCAGTACTTACTGTCTCAGTTTTGACACTTCACACGAATCGACTCATTCAATCTTCACAACAACCGCGTGAAGTGGATAATCCATTATCCCTATTGTGTAGGGAGGCACGAAAGCCTGAGTGATTTGCCTGATGCAACTTTTAAGTGGCAGAACCAGCACGTGGGTGTGGGAGGTCTGGCTTCAGAATCAACACCGCTGACCGCTGGATACCCCACTCCACAAAGCTGCTACGTTAGAGCTTTGTGAAATCTTGTATTTCCAATCGTATTTTCCAAACCCAGCTGAAACACAAAACCTTTGATATATATCACCGGCGCCTCCAGATAGGTGCTCTCTCTCAGCAGAAGGCCCTGGGATCCCAAACAGTTCCTGGATGTGAGCAGAAGTTACCCCTTCTCATCCGCCTTCTCCTCCCTCCCCTCTCCAAGAAAACCTAAGAGTTAAAAGAACTTAAGACCCTACCAGTGCTTCTTGTCAGGCCCAAGAGAACAAAGAAGCGCCCCTTCTCGTCCGCTGCAATCCTCTTGAGCACAGAAGGTCCTTTCCCAATATTGATGAATGAGTAAGGTCATGGCCTTGGGAGCGGTGGCGAGGACGTCTGTCCAAATACAGGCTCGCACTCCCTTTGATCATGTGTCTCCCCGTCCTGGTCCCGCGGGGCCCCAAGGCTTGTCTCTTCCTGCTTAGGGAGGGTGGTACTGTGTTACCCTGTGATGTTTTGTCTGCACAGTTTGATTGGACTTTGTTATTTTGAATGAACAGATGAATCTCAAATTAGCCTCTCGGTATAATCACACTTTTCACTGATCGATGTTAAGAGTCAACGTTCCATCGACAATAGGCAAATCATCAGGTTTTGGCATCGTGCTGGGTGAGCACGTTTGAGAGAAAAAAGAAAAAAACAAAAAACCCAAAAACCTCATATCTTAAACGTGGAGTATCTCAGGCAATCCTAACACGGGGTAATGAAGAAACGAGACCATACTCTACTTTTGTAAAAGCCACGGCCCTTTTAGAGCCAAAGACACAAAGGTCCTGGCAGGTCCAGTTTAAGACGAATTTCTCTGCCAGCTCAGGGAATCTGCTAGACAGAGCTCTGGTTTCCTTTTTTCTCTTTCCACTTACAATATTTACATGAGTTTTCAAGATTTGCTTCCTTTAAATGATATTTCAGTAGTTCTGAGTACATAATTAAATATTTAGATTTCGTGTCACAGGAAATGAAGGCTTTGCCAAGCATTAAGCTGAAAGGACACAAGGATATACTATCAGCCTAATCAGGAACTTCGCATTTAGAGCATCCTCCGACACACATAACCAAAAGCCCTTTAAATCACTGTATATACACAGCCACCAAAACTCACCCTAAATCCTTTTGGACGATCCAATCTATTTGCTCAGAAATCTTCCCAACGAGTGACTCCGGACCTCCCCTGAAATACTATACTCTCTTACTCATTTGCAAAATCTAACTTCAAAATAATTATGAAAGTCCATTCCATCTCTGCAGCATATAGGAGAGAAATTTCCACCATGGAGAGGGGCTACACTGAAGAGTACTCCCGCGGTAAGCTGGGTCAAGTATGCTAAAAATTGGCGCTATAAAATCTGGGAAAAAGACAAGTCATTCAGCTAAAGTCACCCATGAGTCTCTTCCGAACAAACATCCTCATGTGACGTCTCCCCCACCTAACCCCCGACGTCCCGTGCACTGGCACTCATTAACATGATTGCTAGACAGAAACACGAAGAACTCCTCCAGGTTTCCCATCTTCTCTAATTTTAAAAGATCTGAGCCTCTGCCATTTCGGGCTGACGAATCTCTTTCCAAGGAGAGAGGAAGAAGTAGAACGCCAGAGATCAGAGGAAGAAAAGCGCACCGTCTTTGCTATCAAAACATTATTAAATTCATTCCTTTGACATTCTGACAGTAATTGCGCTGAGAGCGATTGGAATTTGTTAAAATTACTTTAAAAGGCTTGTTGAGAGTTTCCCGCGGGAGAGGCCGGGGAGCCACGCACAGCCCTCACTGGTTTTCCCCTGCTCGTCCAGGGTCTGCTGGGACCAGCAGAGTCCATTATCCCTGCTGATTCATTCCTGAGGTTTCTGCCTTTGTCATGGCCATAAACAAAGATAGAACCAGGCACACTCACCACCGTTGTTCTCCTAATCGTGGCAGAGCCATGACACAACAGGCTTCACAAGGGTATTGTGGGATAGAGCCAAAAATAGTGCTATTCACCTCAAATTTCTGAATGTTCCCTTCCTTGCTGATATAAACTCAAAGAGTTCTAATGAACCGAGATTTCATGACTACACGAAGAGATTCTCTCACCTCAGTGAGGAAACGATCCACCTGCAGGGACTGAGCCAGGGAACCACCCCGACGGTGGCCCTAGGCTTATGCACAAGGGGGCAGAGCATCCAATCCCATGAGTACAAGTTCTGTTAATGAAAGGCCTAGAGCTGCTTTCTTCGCTGATCACAACCTGAGTGGCTTTCAAACACGTAACACGCACCGTGAGAAGCTGAATTTTTAAAAATATGTGTCTGGTCCAAAGGTCAAACACAGAGTTGCCATATGACCTAGCAGTTCCGCTCCTAAAGGTAGAATTCTACAAAAGAAGTGAAAACACATGTTCATGCTATAACCTGTATACGAAGGTTCATAGCAGCGTCGTTCACAGTAGCCAAAAGGTTGTAAACAGCCCAAATGTCCATAAACTGATGAATGGGTAAACAAAATGTGGTCTCTCCCTGCAACGGACTAGTACTCAGCCATAAAAAGGAGTGACGTACTGATAGATGGCACACTAGGGATGAATCTTGAAAACATGATGCTACGTAAAAAGAAGTCAATCCTAAAGACCGCATACTGTTTCCTTTTATACGAAATGTCTAGAACAGGCAAATCGGCAGACAGAAAGCAGATTAGCAGCTACCAGGCACTGGGAGGAGGGGGAGAATGGAGAGTGACTGCTGATGGGTACAGGGCTTTTTTTTTGGAGTGATGAAAATATTCCAAAATCAGATAGTGATAAGAGTTGCACAATTCTGTCAATATGTTAAAACGGCTGAATTGTACACTTCAAAATGAATTTCACTGTATGTGAATTGTACCTCAATACAAAAAAATGTCAAACATACGTGTGCATGTGTGTATACACATATATATACCCACACACATGCACATAACACATTTCATGACTTGATCTTGCTTTTTAAAATGATAATCAATGAGACATGACCCCTAATTTTTCTCAACAACCTAGAGTGATTATTAATCATAATTTCAAGAAGGAAGAACTATGCATTTATTGGTGAAGTCCACATTTCCTTGGGAGGAAAAGAGGGCCACTTTTTAAATATTTCTCTCTTTTTTTTCCATTTTCTTTTAATACAGAACTAAAAATGACAACATTGCTAAAAATGCTATTCCCATTCCCTTCTCCTTGTGGAGCTCCTCCTCAGGAGGGAACAGACTGGTCAAGAAAAAGTTTGATTTTCATAAGCATTCACAAGGTGAGTCTGGCTTATGGGAACCACCCCTCCCTTGCAAGAGCAAGTTCGCAATTTAAATGGTGATTCAATTCAGGTGAATAAAACAGCTATTGAGCAACCACCACATATAAGGCAAATACAGTGAAAACACCATCCCTAGCACTAGCTGAAAAACAATCTCATGCCATCTTAACATTGATTCTTCTTTCAGGCTCCTGAGTAACTGGTGTCATTATACTTTGCAAATAAGAAGAGCAGCCAACACTTAACATGGCCCTTATTATGTACCAAGCCCGGTTCCAAGCACTTTTCATATATTCACTCATAGCATTCTATCTATTAACCCTTACACCAACCATAAGACAAGTATCGTTATTATTCTCGTTTTACAGAAGAAGAGATTGAGGTTCAGAGTGGCTAAGTAATTAATTTGCCCAGGGTCACACAACTATGAAAGGGCAGAGCCAGGATGCAAACCCAGGCACTCTGGCTTCTGATGTCACTCTCTTAACCCCACGATGGCATTAACCCAGCTCACAAAATAATTCCATGACACATGCAGAAGAACTGTAAAGCACGCTGCAACCATTCAGCCTTGCGTGGAGCACACGGAAGCGCTGTCCGGCCATTCAGCACAGAGTCGGTGATCAGCAGCAGGGCAGGGCTCTTACCTGTGGACCACCCCAGCCCGGTGCAGGTGCTCCACGGCAGAGATGAGCTGCCTGATGTATCTGCGGGCTTCAGACTCCTCCAGCCGCTTCTTCTCATAGATCTTGTGCATGAGGTTGCCCCCGGGACATAGCTCCATGACCAGGTAATAGCTATTCTCCGTCTCTAAGATATCAAGGAGCTGGGTGATGTTGGGGTGGCGGATCATCTGCTGAATCTGCCCCTCTCGCCGAAGGTTCTTGGTGACATAAGTGTCCTTTTTGGCTCTCTTCTTGTCGATGACTTTTATGGCCACCTGAGGAAACACCGAGAACGTGGCTGTTGTCAGACATCGCGAGCAAAGGTTATTCCCTCATCATTCACAAGGACCCTAGGAAAGTACACAGCTACTTCTCTGTACCAGGAGAAAACCCTTATAAAATAAGCATCAGGGGGAAAAAGGAAAAGTGTAACATCAGGAACCAGATCCAATTATTAAGGAAGAGAGTAAAATTAGGCAAACTTGAATGGTCATCTGGAAGGCGCAGTGAAGAGTCAGTGTTGAACTTGGTTTTCCACAGCCTGAAATGCCAAGTTCTACTCCAGCCAAGGGCCTCTCCTGGCTCCCTCTCAGGCTGAGCATCCATCCAGGGGCTGGGATCCCCAGGACCTCCATTTCTGAAAGAGCTAAATCTGTCCCCATCTTCAGTTCTAGGGTGTGGCTGGGGACCTGAGGGATGCCATGCCCTCTCCTCTCTCCCGCCCTTTCTCTGCCCTGCACCAGGCCCTCTGGCCTCCAGCGTTCTCCTCTTCCCCTTGGTGAATTATGGTGCAAGTTAGCTCTTGGCCCTACATCAGGATCCTGGTGGTTGCTGCTCCAGGGCTATATCCCAGCTACGCACAGAACACCCCTCCTGGGTCACTGCCCTCACAATCAACATGTCACATGCACAGACCCTCCAGCTTTGCATAAAGGCAGGGGAAGAGGGAGGAGGGGGATTTTGTCTTTTCCAGCCAGATCTGCACCCCTTCCCTTTGGTGGCATTCACCTCCCTGCTCACCAGGCCCTAAAACACACCACTGTTTTTGCCCTTTACGACTTCGCTCCTCTTGCTATGGGACCAGCCGCTGACATCATGTCGATTCCTTCTGCTGATGCCTCCTCACCCTTCCTTCCTCTCTGTTCCCACGCCACTGATCGGGTTTATTTAGGACTATGCCTCCAGCACCCAGATGCACCATCCCTGGAACTCGAACAACCCAAGGGACGTATCCGTGGAAGGCTACTGAGCCACAGGGTGTGGGACCCAAAGAGTGGTTCTTCCACCTCTATTTATTTCCTTTTTGTGTGATTATATTTTATAACTTTCATAATATACTCAATATATTAGTACAGAGTTATGATATAGATCAAAAAATAAATGATTGGTAGATGATTGACAGACAATATTTGCAGTGAGGAGTTCACACATTTTTTCCTGACATAGGTTTGTGATTAAAAAATCAATTCAGTCTTGGGGGTGCCTGGGTGGTTCAGTCAGTTAAGCGTCTGCCTTTGGCTCAGGTCATGATCTCAGGGTCCTGGGATCGAGCCCCGCGTCGGGCTCCCTGCTTAGGGAGGAGTCTCCTTCTCCCTCTATCCCCACCCCCGCTCATGCTCTCTCTCTCTCTCTCTCTCTCACTCTCAATCTCTTTCAAATAAATAAATAAAATCCTTAATAATAATAATAATAATTAAGTCTGGCCACCACTAGCCTGGACTATGACATCAATGCCCTACCCCTTTTCCCTGGTGCTTGTCTTGGCTGCCCTTGAAGTCACTCTATGCTCTGCCTCGAAATCACTGGGTCTGGAACTCTGATTTCTCGCTTAAAGCTCTTTGGGACTCACCGCTGCCTACAATGCAAGGTCCACACTCCCTGGCCCAGCACTCAAGCTCCTCCAACCAGGCCAACCCCAGCTGCCCTGGGAGCCAGTCTCCTCTTTCTCCCGAATACACACTGGGTTACCCTCCAAGCTTGTGTTCATGCCACCACCCCCAACCCATCCGAACACCCCAGTCCTGAAGCCGCTAACTCAAGTCCCACCTCCCTCCCAGAGGGTGCTTTCTCTCCTTTTCCCTAGGGCCCACCACAGCCATCAGCTGCAGTCCCACTGAGCACTCAGCCCTTGAAGCAGGGACCACTCTCCTCTTCATCACGCGCAGCCCTGCATAAACAGTAAGGGACCAACAGGTTACCACCCGAGCGAATCATTGAACCTTTTTATTTTTAACCACTGATGCAAAAATAGCTGTGAATAGCTTAATTTATTCTCTCTTCTGGAGAGCAGAGTCTCACTTATTTTTTTAAAATTTTTAAATTGACATATAACAGTACAGTAGTTTTAGGTAGATGGCATACTGATTTGAGATGGTGTAGATCCTCCAAATGGATTACCACAATAAATTTAGTTAACATCCATCACTACACATAGTTATAACTTGCGTGTGTGTGTGTGTGTGATAGGAACTTTTAAGATGTTCTGCCTCAGCAACTTTCAAATATACAAGACGGTATTGTTAACTATAGTCATCATGCTGTATGTTATAACCCTAGGACTTATTTATCTGATAACTGGAAGTTTGTGCCTTTTGAACCCCTTCACCCATTTGAATGGGGGATTTTCAGGTCCTTAATCCAAAAATATGACTAAGAGGGGACAATCGGCCAACGGACAGACAAGCTGGGGGTCTGCTGTAGCCCAAGTCAGGCTGAGGCTGAGGCTGTCCCCCCACTCTGGCTGTAGTTTGGCCCCAACAAGGTCAGGAAATGTTAGATTAAAAGCTTTAAAAACTGTACTCATTTGTGACCCTCCCCCCCCAAAAAAATATATACACAAATATATACACACACATGCACACACACACACATGCACAGACATCCACAGACATCCGCACCCACATATACACACATATGGGTGTGCATGTGCATACCCATATGTGTGCGTGCGCATATCCCTATGTACATATCCATTGTCTCGTGAGGGTGGAGAGAAAGAGCGATGCTGAAAAGTACAATTAGATTCTGTCTCTGCTTGAGTCTGTGTTGCAATGTTTTAAAAATTACACCCTCTGGCAATGAAGTTCTTAAAAGTCCTATGAACAAACAATAGTCTGAAAGCCCGGCAGTAATACAATCTGCCTTTTTCAACAGAGCACACAATAATTATTAGGATAATTTATTTAGCTCTTCAATTGTCTGTCGTAGGTTATATAACGGCCACCCAAGGACTTTCAGTCCTACTCCCTGGAGCGTGTGAATGGGGCCTTATTCGGAAAAAGTGAAGGATTTTGAGATGAGATTAACCGGGACCCTCCGGTGGGCCCTAATACACACTGGCATCAAGTGTCTTTATGAAACAGAGGCCGGGGGGGAGATTTCGCACAAATACCCAGAGGAGCAGGCTGTGGAAAGGAGGAGAGAGACGGCGGCGGCGGCCCACAAGCCAGGGCGTCCCGCAGCTACCAGAACCATTGGAGGGAGCATGGCCCTGGCAACACCTTGAGTTTGGGCCAATGACATTGACTTTGGACTTCTGGCCTCCAGAACTGCGAGAGAATACATTCCTGTTGCTTTAAGCCACCAAGTGTGCGGGGCTCTGTCACGTAGCCCCAGGACACTAGCACACCAGATGTGCCCCCCTGTCACTGGGTACCTGGGTTCCCACGCTCTGCTGGTTCTGAGAACCCCCCAAGTGAAGGCCCTGAGCCCCCCAAGTCACCCCACTAACCCCCCGCTCCATTTCCACGCACCACCCCAGCCCCAGGCTTTTTACTTCACCCCGGACACTTATCACCTCTGCCTTGATAATACTGAAAACGGAATGCCGTTCTTGATTACATCAGCGTCATCTCTAACAACTGAAATGGGAAACACTGAGCGGGAAATTAAGGGAAAGGCAGTCAATGATCAGCAAAGGGAGGCATCTAATTTAATTTGACAGTAATCAGAGATTTGCAGGCAGAGTAGATCCAACACTGATTCTACGAGGTGGAATCTCGGCATGCTGATGGGTCTCTTGCCGAAAAGAGAAACTGCTTGAGTCAGGAGAGTTGTACCAAGTAAAAATTAAATGGGGGCAGACTCAAGCTGAGGACCAAGGCCAAGGACCCAATTGAAAGCGTGTGTTTGGGGAGGGGTGGGTGGTGGGGGGGGTGTCAAGGGGGTACGGAAGCCTGGATGTCATCCTCGGCACATCAAGAGAAACAATCTTGCTGTGGAAGGTGAATCCAACGACTGCAGCTCTTCAACAGACTCAAGTTGCAAAGTCTCCCGAAATCTTACAAAGGGATCCGTTTTCAAAGACTGCCCCCATGTTCCCAAGAGGAGTTGCCAAGTCTTGCGGGGGTGGTGGAAAATGAACAGAGAGAGAATAACACGGCTCCAGTGGACCACAGTTGAAATGGATTATTCACCAACTTCTCTCATTAAGTAAGAAATTGCATTTCTCACAACCTGGCAACTCCTACTGTCCTCCACCACCCCTCCCCCCGCTCCCACCAAAAAAAAAAAAAAATGCCTACCAGTGATGGATAAGATCAGCAAATTTAAATAGCTAAGCTCCTAAGAAAGGAAAGGAAATCCCCCCAAGACCAAAATAATGAGTATATCTAAGATAACTGGATGGTAGCTATGTAAAGATACAGGAGATGGGCACCTGGGTGGCATGTTGGATTAAATGTCCCACTCTTGGCTTTGGCTCAGGTCCTGATCTCAGGGTTGTGAGATCGACCC